AAAAAAAAAAAAAAAAAAAAGAAAAGGTCCTTAGTAGAGAGATTGTGGAATTACAATTTCTCTCAGTTGTTCCCTGCGTGTAAAAACGTTCTTATATGATGTTCTTCATGTTTGGTCGTTTCTCTTGCGTGTTCCCCGGCAAAAAGTGCGTTTCTTTTCTTCTGTTACTTTTCGATTTTCTCGAAACCAGGAAAACGAAAACACGCATTCTTGCTGTGTGAAACGTGACGTTGAAACATCATATTATATACCTATTACTACCGCGTGTAAGTACAAACCGTATCGGATCATCATTCGATCATCATTAATCTATGTACATATACGTGCATACATACATACATACATACATACATATACATATATATATATATACATATACATACGTACATGTACGACTCAAACACTTCTCGTGTGTATGATCTCGAGCCTCTTTACTCTTTCGAACTTGTAATTAAGTTTCTAGCGATAAATCTTTCTACCACGTTTGTATAATCTGCGCACACACACACACACACACGCGCGCGCGCGCGCGTACACACACACGTGACACATATACACACGACGACGACGACACACACACGTACGTACAAACACACATTCTAAACGAGTACTGTGGTATACTGTATACTATTATGTAATCGGTGTAAACGAGATAAAACGCGAAGAAGCGATAAATAACACACAGATACGCATTTTTTTGCACCGACGTGTACTAACTAACACAACTTTCATTGTGACGTCCATTAATGTAATTCGTACGATCGTGTACATGTAAGGCGAACAGCCGTGTTCCTGCGACTCTGTTTGTTGTTATGCCAAGATCATTCGTGATTCACACAGGCGTTCGAGCGAGCGAGAGAGAACCACCTCTGGTTGGTACTGATCCTACGCTTGCTATGCTTGCGTACGTAACGAACACACCGAGAGTGTGTTTTCTAAAACGTTGTTGTTGTGTTGTTGTTGTGTGTTTTAAAACACAATTTCAACGAGAGCAAGAGAAAAAGAAAAAGAACGAAAGAGTTATCGTTAATTGCTAGACTGTAAGTACACCGCTCGCATCGAAATTATATTCAAAACGAATATGAAACGATGAATTTGATTTTTTTTTTTTTTTTTTATTAAACAGAGAACATCAGAGAAGCAAACGACAAAATCGAGCAACTTTTCTCCGACTTGTCTTGTTTGCTATTGCCCGATGTTCTCGTCGTCATATTCATCCAAGCGATGTGTTGAAATGTCCCCTAATTCTTGTGAGAGCAGTGTATTTATGCGAAACGTTCAAACTTTCAAGGAAGATTAACTCTTCGCTTCACTTCGTCGTAAAACTTCGTTGTAAAATGTACATAGACACTGTGTTCTTTCGTAACGAGCAAAACAAACCGTACGTGTCACACCTGTATATCCCGAGGATTTTGTAGCTTTAAACTAAACCCGCGAGTGCGTGTAAACAGGCGCGGTTTATCACCAATGGTAAATTACAGTGTAACTACAAACACGATCTTCGAACGAAGATCTGAATTGTTTGTCGGTAAAAGAGAATACCGACCGAGTGACTTATGTTGCGTTCATCAACCTTGAACATGTCCGTCATTTGCGTCTTTTGAGAATAAAGTTAAACAGATATTTGCCAATGTAATTTGAATCTAGTTAATATTATTCCAAGGTTACGTTGTTGCGGACCGTTTCTATCTCTGTTGTTGCGTATCGCGAAATTTTCAATGACGAAACTCGCGTCAATTTTCAATGTTGAAAATTAAATTCATCCCTCTGAAACGCGTTTCTTGATAAAAGGATAAAGGGAAATCTTTTTCAAAAACAACGGTGTTACCTACGTGTGCGTCAGAGATTTCTCGATGATCACACGTAGCATGTGAAAGCAAATACCTATATGCATACACACATACATACATGCACCGATACGTTCTGTCAGCTTTTCGAAAGAAACGCACGATATATACCATGTGTACGTCGCCAACACATTCTACACTAGAACTACCAACGATTAAAACATAAAATTTCCATCAGAGACATTAAAGACAAAAAAAAGAAAATAGAGAAACTTTATAATACAAGCTGGAGTGTATAAGCTTTCTATTCGTACATTCATACGAAAACTTACTTAAATCTTTAAAAATACACTGTTTTTTACGTCTAGCAAAGTATCTAACGAAAAATTAGCAATTGGTGATTTTGGCCACTTTGGTAATTCTAGTGTCAACAAGCTCGAGAGGCTTTTTCCGATCGAACGATCAAACGATGAGCAAGCAAACGCGCGAACTGACGAATCAGTCAGTTTCCAAAGAGTGTCGAGAAGCAAATGCATACATACAAGTGTATCTTACAAGGTATCTTACATATGCACGATCGTATCTTGTCCTCTGTAGAAATGCCTTATTGTCACGTGCCTCGATTAACAATTAAACTGTTCACCTGCTTACCAATTACTTGTTAGTGTACGTATCAACAAATATGTACGTGTAATATCGCGTTATTCTTTGTACTGCTCTTGTAAATATATTCTGAACGATTATTGTCACCATGTGTCGTCTATGAAGTTTGACTTACTACTTTCTCGAGATTATCCTTGTTTACGTTTGTCCCGTTTCCCCGCGCGCTTCCTGCCCACCTCCTCGCCTTTGTTTTCACCACACTATGCTTAAATCTCTCTGTGAAATATGTGTGTGCTGCGACTATACTGTATCTAACTACCACTATACTTTGACAACGTACGTTTCCTTACTCGTTCTCAACTTCTTAAAGTCATTTTGTTCCGCATGTACATCCATCTATACGTGTTGTGTGTATCTACTTAACCGTTTTAGTGCCATGCAGCGCGATATCGCTCTGTTCAGATTTCGCGTCGGACAGTGCCACAACGCTTTAATTTACAACGTACTCAGTTCCGATAACGCCATATCGTCGTCAGTCATCCTGAAGCTTCCTCTTCTAATTACTTTCTTTTCAATTAAACCTAAACCACGTGCATAAATAGGCAGTTTCCTCACTTTAGCTTACCTTCATCGCGTTGCTTGACATTTTTCGCAATGCTATCGCGCCATCCAACACGGTTTCTTAACACCTTGCGCTGGCAACGGACCATAACGAATGACCAAAACCGTGTACAATGATACGTCGCTTTCTTTCTGAATTCGTCGGAACAATATCACTGAATAGGAATTACTAAGAATAAACTTATTATTTGTTTTGTCTGGGTATATTTAAATACACTTAAAACTGAGAAAATATTGCTATTTTTTGACAAAAAAATCTTCGACACGTCATTCCAGCGCAAGAGGTTAACCACCAATATTTTATTATATTTTCGAGAAAAATCTCAGAAATTTGAATTAAATGTTCCTCTTTGTGAAGATACACAAAGTAAGTGTTTAATGTACGGTCTTTTCCAGCTTTCAAACATCATTGTCGTTTTCATTCACCTAGTTTTAAGCTAGGGACAGTTAAGGGCAGAATATAGACCTTATCGTGTCCCAAGGATCAACATTTTCGCGGTCACTTGATTCAATAGGTGCACACATGCACGACGACGTACCTGCGTACACATCATCGATCGATGATGTATATTTAGTAATGGTTTCAATCGAAACGAAATTTCCTTGACAGATTATAAATAAACTACGAAACAGGGAATTTTATCACAAATCGAGCATTTATAAAATTCTACGTTACATCGGTCCTTTATTCGTTTTTTCAACGTCGTTGCTTCAACGTGTTCTCACTTGCATGAACAATTTTCCAAATTATTAATTACTCAAGGAGCATCTACTAAATTTAGAAAAATTTTATTCGTCTTGTCAAATAATAGGTTTCGAAATGGAAAAAAAAATTATTTTTACTTTCAAACAAACTGTGTGTTTCATTTTACAATTTTCTACACAAATTTTCTGCAGATTTTATTTACTAAATAAAATGTTATTGAGAATTATAAAAGTATTTTATTACTTGAAATTAATTTTCGAGTAGTAAATTTCCTATATGTGATTCACTCGAGAGGCAAAGTCAAAGTGAGTTACATACGTATTAAATCACTGTGCTATACTTCGCCACTGCAAAATGAAACTCATTAAAAAAAATTAACATTTCGTAAAGTGACTTCCATTTGAAGAAATGGAGTATTTCTTCAGGCTTTTGAATGTCCGACAGTGTTGCTCGTAAGAAATAAAATATGTACATATTTGAGCAAATGTCACGATCTATTGAATACAATTTGCAAATCGTAGTACACGCATTTTGCAAGTTAAATGAAACAGGAAGAAATGTGAGGATCTGAAAGCGAATATACAACTGCAAAAATTCATAAATTAATCTCTTTATTTAGTTTTTTTTTGTAAATACAGATTTAATCGATTCACGGGCACTGAAATGCTAGCGTCGCGTAGCGGCGAAATGGTGGAACTAAAATCTATCGTTGTCCTTCTCGTACATTAGTGTGCTCCTTGTCTACGGATAGTGTTGCCATCTAAGCCCTCTCATTTTCAACTGGAACTAAAAAGAGAAAATGGAAACATCCGATAGATGGCAGCACGTCATTTCGCCAGCTAGATAGTTCTAAATAGAGCCGCTAGATGGCAGCACCTCAGTTTTTCGGACAAGGAGACCAACAATGCATGACAAAGATAGACATATGTGTGACAGACAAAGAGCACATTGGTAAGCGACAAGAACAACGATAAATTTTAGTTCTACCGTTTCACCGCTAGTGCCATCAATCGAGTAATTTTTTATTAGCAAAAAAAATCCATTTGGAGGATTAATTTATAAACTTTTGCAGTTGTATCTTCGTTTTCAGATCCCCAGTTTTTTTCCTTTATATTTCAATTGACCTATAAAATATATTAATAAAGATTTGAAATTCCTACTCAATAGATCGAAGCCTCGTTTGTCATACATCGAAATATCGACTTTAATGACATTTAATTGCTCGTGAGTTTTATTCGAAATTCAGATTGGAGTCTTTCTTAAATATAGTTGGGAATGTGCAGAGTAATTTTTAGATACCGACGCTGCTAACAATTTTGCGCGATTTGCGCTTTCATTGTCAAACATTGTTCAAGCATGTACCAATCGATTGAATCTCAGATTGTCGGATTTGAATAAGGGAATTATTTACATCGTAAATATTGCTACATAAAAAGTAAAAGAAGAAAGTAAAGAGGTTCTACAACTTTAAACAACTTTAAAATGCCGCTTCCAGCTGCATTGGCTGCACGGCTTGCTAAAAGAGGACTCATCACTGGCTCAGAAAAACACGGTACAATAATCTCATTTGTTTATGCATAAAACACAATGTGATCAAGAATTTTGTTAAGCAAGTTAGTAATCTAACTGAGGATCTCGTCGCGCCTTTTATCTCACTGCCTTATATTTCACAACTATTACAGAGATTTCATTGTTATATGTGAAACAAAACTTAACCTCAAAAAGTATCTACAGAACAAATGTATTTACAGAACACAATCTCAATACGTGGAAAGTACAGAAAAGAGTTGTTTATTAATGAAATATTTATTAATGAATTGTTAATTATTGATTAATAATTGTTTATGAGTTAATTATTGATTAATAATTGTTTATTAATGAAATACTGTGTTTTAGATTGTGCAAAGAAGGAGCCAAAGAAGAAGATTCATGAAGAAGTAATAGCTGAAGATTATGACAGCACAAAGGACGACATTAATCAAATAGACATATCACAAAAATTTATGGTAAATATATTACGTCAACTATTGTTATAAAATGTTAACTATGTAATAATAACAAATAATATAAACAATACCAACATCTTTAATATAAATATCTCAATAACGTTTCACTAGTCGTTGAACAATATATTTCTCATTTCAGGGATACAGCGGCTGTCCTAATAAATATAATATTTATCATGAATGCACAAAGAAATGTAAAGAGTTGTGGGGTCTTGGACATGTACAACCTTCTGACAAATATTTGAAGAAACAGATAAGATTGATACAGAGGTACCCTTTGCCAGAAACTTGGAAAGCTGTTTATGATCCTGGATCGTCAGTATCAGTCTTCATCTTTCTCTTTAACTTGGAATATATTCATATTGAATTCATTTAATGTAATTATTTCATTCACTAACAGTGGTCAACATTATTATTGGGACTGGTCGTCCGATTTGGTATCTTGGTTACCACCGGGTCATCCAAAGTGTCAGATATCTCAGCCAGCTTCTCAATTGAGGGAAGAGTTACATCTGAAAGCAGCGGACCAGGATGACAATATGTCCAGTGACGATAGTGGCAGTGAACAAGAACCGATGGAAGTTAATATCAATTTTTTAATTTAGTAACTAATTCGAAGTTTAATGTATTTTTTATTGCCATGACTAATAATAATTCAATGGCATAGATAGACGAACCGGACGTGAAAAAGGATAAGAAATCAGAAAACAGATCGAGACACAAGTCGGTAGATAATAAAAGAAATCAAAGATTAGAAAGATCCGAGAGTAAAGAGAAGAAAGACAAAACTTTAGATCCTATGGATCCAGCATCTTACAGCGATATTCCACGGTATGACATTTTTTTATTAATTTTTTGTAAATATGTACTTGCATAAGTGCAAAATTTAAATTATTTATTATATATATATTCTCTTTTTGTAGGGGGAAATGGTCTGATGGTTTAGCAAGGCACAACGAAGCTAAAACAGGAGCAGACACAACTGCTTCAGGACCTCTTTATCAAATGAGGCCGTATCCTAGTCCAGGTGCTGTTCTACGATCGAATAGGGCCAATAAAACAGAATCGGAATCATCTAACAAACCTAAAGTATCGTGTCCAGAAAAACCGGAATAAATTTCTTTTTTTCTATACCTTTGGTGTATTATATGCTTATGTTTATTACACATCTAATGCAAATATAGGGTAACTTGTGAAATTTGTCAATACTCTTGTTATATCGTCTACGAACGTGTAAATGAATAATTGAGTTTAAAATTTTGCTATTTTTACTTATTAAATTTCTTAACAAGTCTTTGATTTATTTTCTTTTTCTATTGAAAATTATAATTCAACAATTTATTTGATTAAATTTTATTAATTTGTAAATTTTTATCACCAAATTTGAAGATCAATGATGGATGAAATAAATGTGTATATCTCTGATTTAAAAAATAGTAACAAATTTTATCAAGCATAAAAAAGTTGGTATATAGTTCGAATTTTACTTGTTTTTCTTCTTTTTTTTTAAATTAAAAGCCTTCCAGTCCAAATTTTTCAAAAACTGAAAACGATTTTTTATTGAAAGTCTCACCATAAAAGTTAAACATTATATAAATATAAATATAAAATGTAGGTTGTAAAAGACTGATGTTAAAATAATTATTTACACAAAAGTTGATTTCAACATCGATTAAAATATATCAATATGGACAATAGTATCAACAGCAATGTTCAAATTATAAATGAAAAAGAATTTGCGTATCTGCAGAAAATCAATCGCCATGAATCCTGCATATATACTCCGATGTTTTCAATTATAAAATCTTAATTCACAAATAAAACGAAATTAACTTTACTAAAGTTTTCAAATTTTTTAGTCTTAATTTTTTTTTTCTTGAGTTCAAGGGTTGACTTTCAAGAGTTCTCACAATTGAGAATCTAATCAAATCCAAAGTAACTTTCCAAATTTTTATGTTATCGAATATCAAATTATTACGTACACACGCGTAAAGAATGTCAGAAACGAAGGAAGAAAATTCATTGCTGGATCTAACAAAAACTTTGTTATAATTTTCAAATCTTTTAGTCTCAACTTTGCTTTTTTCTTCCAGAGATTTTCTTTTTTTGTTTCTCTTTCAGGGTTTTTTTTTTTCTTCCCGAGTGTTTTCTTTTTTTCTTTTTCTTCCAAGAGTTCTCACGATTGAGAATCTAATCAAGCCCAAACTCCGCAAATTTTCACGTTATCGAGTATTAAATTATCGTACATTCGCGTAAAGAATGTCAGAAATGAAGAAAGAAAATTCACCGCTGAGTTTAAGAAGAGACCCATCGACCGTGCGAGTGTTAACCTTGTTCTTGGCCTAGTTTGTCAGTAACGATGCAGGGGAGCAAGCTCGATATTTCCAAGGGATGATACACGGATTATGGGAATTAACTCCGTGCGGGACGTATCACCACGTTGTTTCCCATCGGATTTCATTAACGTGGATCGAGTCAAGACAAGTAGAACACAAGATTGAACAGTGAAACGTTCTGCAACGCTTTTGAAAGAACAAGAAAAAGAAAGAAAGAAAAAAGGAAAAAATGCAAACATTGTACGTAAATATCGAGCAGTTAATTCGCGTGACGTAAGAAAAAGAAAAAAAAAAAGGAAAAATTTCCGAGTAAAGGAGCTTATGAATCACAAAAGATATCGCAGCGAACGAACTAACAGAGATACATGCGAGTCTGATTTCTCACGATGAATACGATTACTTGAAAATTTTTCGTACGTTTAAGGTATGTAAATATCAGTATCATCATCCTCTGTTCGATATTACAAGATTTTATTTATCTTCTGTATGACTTGAATAATTTATCAATGGTTACGTTGTTTTTCATTGAAATTGAGCCTCGGGGCATTTAAATTATCCATAGGTCGTGCCTGCGAGAATGTGAGGTTAAGTTACAAGCACATGACAGATCATGAGTTTTCCCGCCGATTTCGAACTTGAACAACAAGCATTATTTAATAGTCGAGATTAACAATATCCAATTGTTCGAATGAGTTTCTCTAATCGTGTCGAGCGTAAGCAATAGTGATAGGAGAAACCTAATGTTACTCGCACAACGAATCAAAAGTCAATTTAGCAGTAATTTCGCTTCGTCGTTAATTATCGCTGATCGCGCATTAAAGAAGAAATTTGTTATAAATTATGCAACGTTGGGTAAATTCAAAGAGCAAAAAGCATCGAAATTAAATTGCTGGTCGTCGCGAACGATTTGTTGTCGAATTGTCTGTGTAATTTTCTTACGCGAGTTGGATTTGGAAAAAAAATGTCACACACATTTGCTCGAAATACACATAAATTTAACTTGTGGCGAAGGTTAAAAACATTTTTTGACCTGTTTGAATAAGTTTTGCTATGTAGAAATTAATTCGGAAAGAAATTACTCCAATTAATTTGTTAGTTCCTAACTGAATAATTTTTTATTTAAAAAAACTACGAAACAAGTTGGTTGTTAGAAAAATGTATTGCATTTCATGAAGATTACCTTGATTAAATAATGTCGTGTTGAATAATAAGATGCTTTAACATATAGTTTTACTTGAAGAAACAAGCATTTCATATGCACAAACCTAATAGATTGTATGTACCATAGTATCACGATTTATATTAGCATATAGTGTATATTTGCATTTGAATGACGTTTTGATCTTTCTTTCAGATCTTTCTTCAAATTTAATTTGTCTATGTTAGTAAAATATCTGTTGAAATAACTGATCAAAATCATTACTTTTAAACTGCGACTTCAATTGTTTTATTGAACTAAAAATATATTGATATTGTTCATGCAGTTCTATGTAGATATGATAGACAAAACCAAAAGTTGTCGTATGGTAAGTACTACAGATTATTGTTAACTTAAAATATAATTTTCATCATACTGCTTTAATAATGTTACTCAGTCTTTTTTTATTCAAAATATTATTTCATAAAACATACTTGTTGCCTTTTCTCTTACTCTAGATCATTTAATGATTCATTAGTTTTATTATTGAAATGAATATTAAATAATTGAAATAAAATGGATATTGAATCAAATGATACTTTGTAGGTATATATTATTCACAGAATTATTGTATTACATAGTAAAGCTGTAAGAATATATAGTTTATTTATGTATAATGAGTAAAATAAGTAAACTTCAATTGCCATGAAAGTATACTTGTATTGTGTGTAATTAAGATTTACATAGAAGGTACACGTTCAAGGATAGAAATTTTTTTTCTTATCTATATCACTTATCTTATCTACCCTACATGTAAGTTTTATTGGTTTTCTTGTTTTATTAGTTACTTTGCTTTACAAAACAGATATATAATTTTATATTATAAAGGTCTTATAAAAATTTTTCATTACTACGTATAATTTTCATTTACAATTAAATCAAATAATATAAATATATTACAATTAAATTAAGTAAATTAAATTAAGTAAATTTATAATTACTAGTTATTTAATTTGTAACATAATGTAATATATAAAGTATAATTTGTTTTACACATTTCACAATTTATTTCAAGTTTTTGTAATATTGTTAAACTTTCATCAGTGTCTCTTTCGGTTTAAGGTTCTTGTAAATAATAATGAACAAGAGTTAGGAATAGTTGGGTTAATATGTGTATATTTTATCATCATTTATCTTTATTTGTATTTAGTTTTTTTTTTAACATTGCTTCTTTAGTTAGTTATATTGGTCAATGTTAAGGTGAATGCATGTACATATCAAGATGGCAATCGGAAGTATTATTTGTGGAGTCAACACTCCTAAAATGAAGAGAAAAAAGGCAAAGGTACCATCTTTTCATTTATCTTTTTTTTTACATTTTATTTAAACATCACATTTTATTTTACCATTGTTTTGAATATATGTAATATGTTTTTATATATACTTAAAATACATTTTATAATATCATTTTATAATAAAAATATATAATTCAAATTTTAGACAACTGAACGCAGTTGGATAGAGGCTACATTTCAAAAAAGGGAATGCTCAAAGTTTATTCCAAGTGCTGATGATGAACACAAGTATGTACAATGTTTATTGTATCTTTAATTTAGATATTTTTACATACTTCATTGACATATTACACATAACTATCAGTCGATATTTACAATATTAAAAACGAGCTAAATTAAAAATTTCCTTTAATTCTCAAACATACTATCTTTGTGGAATACAATAAATACTCATTTTTTCAATGAGTGCCATTTTTGACATCATTATCATGCATTTATTGAACAACTGTGGTATCTATTTATTTAGTTTTTTGATAACATGATTATTGTATATTAATAAATAGCTACAAATACGTATTTTGTTTCTCTGAAGGAACAATATTTTTGCAGAGGCAATATGTATAAACAGAATAATTGCATAATTTTTTAACAATGATGGTCGTAGATTGTAATTAACGTTATATCGTAAGATATGGCTTTTTAATTTTTACTTTGGGCAATATGCATTTTTATGATAGTTACAATTATTAATATTTTTTACTATTTAGATATCTATTATAAAAAAATTATTTCTGAAACTTTCCAGATCATTACTAACATAATTTTTATGTTCATTTTCATTTCATTTACTTTTTTTTTTCTTTCATTCCATTTATAGGTTTATGCAAGTAAAGGGAGATGAGAATGCAGAGTATGATGTGTTCACCACTTCCAGGTGAGAATTCATTGTGGGTTTTGTCGTAATTGAAAATTTCACATTCTTTATGGAATAGAAAACAAAAAAGAAGATAGGTGACTTAACAAATATTTGATATTGCTTCTGCAAATATATATACATATGTCAGAATTATGTTTCAAAATAGTATCATATCTATTTTCTTTACTTGTAAGTTGAATAATTTTTTAGTTTCAAAGACAAAATAATAACTTATATACCTTTCATCATACCTTTGAATAGTCATTAATAAAATACTGTTACATTACATGCATTCTATACAGTTCTCAGCAATAATGGTTTGTACCAAAGGAGCTGTTAAACGCTAAGTTTTTATAGTGTACATAAAAATCTGCACCAAAATTGCATTATATAATCATTGAATCGCTTCTTTTTAAGAAAGTTCACTAATAAGACTTTATTTTAAATTTATCTTTTGTTTAATGCTTTTCATAAAATGCTTTGTTTTTTCCTAGAGTTCATATTCATTACACCATGCAGTCAAGTAATCAGATCATATTTATATAGAAGTTATTATAACAATATTATACTTCACAGTATCTGGATAACAAATTATGTCAAACAAACCTGTTGTGAAAATACTCTCAATAAAATCTATTGTGTGTCAAACTTGTGCCTGTGTAGTAGTTAATAGTTACTCTGAAATTGTACACTTAAAAGTTTCCCTATATAACGAGAAAACTGTGTTGAACAGATATAGAAATATATTGTGTACAGTCATAGGGTATTCTTTTATAAATCTTTTTGAAGAAGAGAAATAAGATTAGTTGCAAAAGGGTACAATTGTATGTAACAATATTCTACAACATTTGAAAGTTTTACATTATGAAAGAAACTACGATTTGCTTTGAAAATTACTTGTACCCAAGTGCATCTAGTCAGTCATTTTTTTACAGTGAAAATATTAATAATTGATTGATTATTATAGATGTTGTTGTGGATATTCTTATACTCATCACTGCAGAGCTGGTATAGATGTTCAAAGTTACACTCCTAGTAATACCAAAGAAGAAGATAGAGAACAATGGTCTCCTGGAAAAAATACACGTCCATTTCCTACGGATGCATATGGCACCATCGAGTTTCAAGGTGGCCCACATCCAACTAAAGCTCAGGTAAACAATAAACATGCATATCGTGAAATACGCAATATATTTCTTGTTTCTGTATTAATGTTTTACTTCTAGTATGTAAGACTTGCTTACGACACGAGGCCAGAACCAATAGTACAATTGTTGTGTCGTGAATGGAATTTGGGACTACCCAAGCTATTAATAACTGTGCATGGTGGTCGTTCCAACTTCGAACTACAGCCTACCTTGAAAAAGGTTTTAAGAAAAGGTTTGTTAAAGGCTGCAAAGACAACTGGCGCGTGGATATTCACAGGTGGAACAAATACAGGTGAATTGAAAATAAAGATAAATAATTAGATTAATATTTCTTATTAGCATCTGTTATATCAGAGTTCCATTATAAATGTTACATTTCAATCTCTGTCACAGGTGTAACAAGGCAAGTGGGAGATGCGTTGCTATTAGAAAGGTCTCAAAGGCAAGGTCGAGTTGTGAGCATTGGCATAGCACCATGGGGAATTTTAGACAAAAGTCACGAACTTGTAGTCCGTGGAGGTGAAGTACCTTACGATTGTCTTTCATCTCCCTGGTAAGATACAATTTTTATGATTAATATGTAATTTTTCGTAAGCATCTGCCTCGATACCCATTCAACTTCGTAGGTCTAAATATGCGGTTTTAAACAATCGTCACGCATATTTTTTACTGGTGGATAATGGCACTGGTGGTCGGTACGGTGCAGAAATTGTGTTACGCAGAAGATTAGAAAAATACATTTCTAATTTAAAATTGCAGCCATGTAAGTATCGAAACGTAAATGAACATCATTCAATTCAGGTAATCTTCATTTACGAATGGTAAATTTATTATTGCAGACACACATAGCAGTATCCCTGTCGTAGCGTTGGTAATAGAAGGGGGAACGAATACGATTCGATCGGTTTTAGAGTATGTTACAGACGTTCCGCCTGTTCCCGTAGTAGTTTGTGATGGCTCAGGTCGTGCGGCCGATCTCATCGCTTTTATGCACAAGTAATAATGTCACAACAGCCGCATATTTCTTAATGTAATCGTTTATTTTGGCAATGATAAATGAGCGATAATGAATGAAAAATTTAGATACGCGTCTGAAGGAGATGGGGAGAACGGGGAGAACGAGGGACCATTAGAAAGTATGAGAGGACATCTTTTAGATACCATCAAGCGCACCTTCAAAGTATCTGTCGAACAGGCAGCGCAATTGTATTCCGAACTTTTGCAGTGTACCCGTAAGAAACATTTGGTGAGTATTCAATATAGATAAATTATTTGTATAGTAATTATAGACCAAGTATTTTGTATATTATATTTAATTTTCATAGATAACAGTATTTAGAATAAGTCAAGAACGGCCACAGGAACTTGATCAAACGATCCTGACAGCTCTGTTCAAGTCTAAGCAATTATCCCCTGCCGAGCAATTATCGTTGTCTTTAATTTGGAACAGAGTGGATATAGCGCGCTGTGAAATATTTGTGTACGGGCAAAATTGGCCAACTGGTGCCCTGGAGCAGGCAATGATGCAAGCTTTGCAACACGACCGAATCGACTTTGTGAAACTTCTCTTAGAAAATGGAGTCTCTATGCGTAAATTCTTATCCATACCTCGCCTCGAGGAACTGTACAATACCGTAAGTTCTCCATTTTCGTTGACGCGAAAGGATGTCTCAAGATTTAACAACCGCACTCTCTCGATATTTCTTATGGAAAATTGTTAAGATGTGCGTGTATATATGATTAGATTGTAAATAGATTAAATTTTGGGACATCTGCCTACAGTTGTTATACGACGAGCATATTTTTTTCATACGCAACGATTATTTAGAAAGAAGGCCCTTCGAATACACTGGGCTATATTCTGCGTGACGTTCGACCAAATATCCCACGAGGTTACATGTATACTCTGCACGACATCGGTCTCGTGATAAATAAATTAATGGGCGGCGCTTATCGATCGCAATACACGCGTAGAAGGTTCCGCATGATCTATACCAAAGTGATGAAGAGATCCGGTATACATCCCCAACACATGCATCGAAATAGTTGCGTCCTGGGCAACACTACTCGTTACTACTCGGGATCTGGTAGCAAACAGGATAGCCTGACAATGAGTTTGCTCGCTGAAACGTTGCCAGCTAATCGAGACACACCGCTTTTCGATTATCCTTTCAACGAGTTACTTATATGGGCCGTATTGACTAAACGCCAGCAAATGGCGCTGTTGATGTGGCAACATGGAGAAGAAGCTTTAGCAAAAGCTCTGGTTGCTCTTAAGTTGTACAAAGCCATGGCGCATGAGGCTGCCGAGGATGATCTTGAAACAGAAGTGTACGACGAATTGCGGAGTTATGGAAAGGAATTTGAAAATATTGGTAATAATATATTGAATTATATCTACTGGCTGATTTATCAATGATCTTCTTTTTTTTATTACTTTTACAACGTAATTTTCTTTTGGAAGCTTTGGAATTGTTAGATTATTGTTATCGTCAAGATGACGATCAAACGAAACAGCTATTGACTTCTGAACTTCAAAATTGGTCTGGTCAAACGTGTCTTTCGTTGGCAGTCACGGCTAATCATCGACCACTTTTAGCACATCCTTGTAGTCAGATTATCTTAGCCGATCTGTGGATGGGTGGTCTTCGCACGAGAAAGAATACGAATTTAAAGGTAAGTAGGTGATATGATTTAAAAGATATATGTTTTATCTTGTTTTTTTTTTTTCTTTAACGCTTAATAAATATATATTTTTTATTTTTTTGTAACATTATTTTAATTTATTGTCAGGTCATACTTGGACTAGTTTGTCCATTTTATATAGTGTGCTTGGAATTTAAAAGTCGCGAGGAATTGCAACTGATGCCACAAACTCAGGAGGAACATTTGATCGCTCTTGAGGATGAGAAAGAAGATAGTGATTCAGAGCATGGTATGCCAACGGGTCCAGACGTTGAGGTAATAAATTAGTTTTTTTGCTTTTTTTTTTTTAATAACGTGAGAATTAATTGATTATGTATTAGTTGTTGGTATTTCAAGAAAATTAAGGTTTATGAAAATCTTTGATATTGATTTTTTATGCTTAGTATGAAGTTAAACTCAGTATGAGCAATAAAATAAATGAAAAGTAAAACACGTTTGGTAGCATATTGGTATTAATTAGTACATCTTATCATTGCATTTATAAGAGTTCATCATTACACATTTCATGCTGCAATTATTATTTTTGAACATAGCGGCAATCACTGCTTTATTATTTTAAATAATGTTTTCAAATGTCGTCCATTCATAATACGAGTTATGGAAATTATCGTCATTTGTAAATAACAAGATCTCATTCGATGTAAGATTTATTCAATCAATTCTAATAATTTATTTAGAATATAAATAATACTCGAGATAATCTTCAGTAACACAATATTGGTACATGTGGTTGCTGGTTTTGAACAGTTATTTGAAGGAATATGTAGAGACGTATACACATATAGGTTTTGCCTTCTGTGATGTATGAGAAAGAAAAGAAAGACGTTTTACAAATTTTTCACATGTATTTAAATCTATATTTAAGAATATCACACAAAGCATAAAATATTATCGATAGGTTATAATTATATTGGAACTGTGTCCTTTATATCTTCAAATTTTATTTTTCTGTATGCGTAGGCAAATAAAGATATACATTACATAACTTTATTTCACTTGTTAGCAATATGTTGTACACTTAAGCGTATATTGTTTGAGAAAGGTATTGTATGTTTAATAATTGGTCAATATTATATAGTATATAGAGTGTATCAATCGCTATTAGAGGTATTGAAAATGTTTTTGTGATTCATAAACTATGTGGGTATGCGTATGAATTGTTTTTTAGAAACGTCAGCGCAGGAGCCTGAGCGTACGCAACAAATCCAGCAGCCAACAAGGCGCTAAGGTATATCTATAATGACCTGAAATGCAATGATTCTATGACAAATAAGTTCACACATTCCGGTGCACTTTTCAACTATCTTTCTTATGTTATTAGTTATCATCAAGGAAAACTTCTATTTATTCAGTATCGGAATCCGTACCGGTGAGGATGATGACTAACGCTTCTATTCTAAAACAAGTCGTGTTGTATTCTTAATACTTAACCAAAAAAATTGTCCATTTTGATGTTAAATAAAAAAAGAGAGAGAAAAAAAAGAAAAATACCGCTAAAATATCGGTATAGTTCCTGTAAACAATAATAATACAAGCTATTCGATGTATGTTTATGTTTATACATGTATATCGGGCTTTACATTTGTTAAATATCGTCACGACATACCGATGTTTTTCATTTAGCGGTTAAATAGTCTCTAACCATTGTCAGTCGTATGTTTTTGACAATTTGTTCTCAATGACTTGTAAAACCTTGTATTCCAAATGTTAGCATTCGAAAAGTTGTTCTCAATCAATTCACGAAGGAACAAAGTACCGTTCGGTGATGTAATTATTTTAAATTTTCGTTTTTCTTGCATCACATTATCTAAATGCACTTACAATTTATGTTCCACGCAATCATAAGTTTTAACACTACCTGCATTCTATTCTATCGTTATCTTATTTTTTAGTCTTGTAGCTTTTGAATAAGTTCATTTCTTTATACTTTCTTTTCTTTCTTTTAATCCTTTAAATTTATTAAAAATCTTCGTACTGAATTAATTTTCTATCACAATACTTGACACGAATCTCTGCATTGAACTACAACACTTCAGATAATTACTCTCCCTTTCATAAGATATACTACAACTTAATCATGCTTCTACACTTCGTTCATAACTCCACATGATCATATAGTAATAGCATATAATGACAAATGATTACGTACTTGTACAGATATGAATGTGTATCATTTATCTGCCTTTACTTTCCATAGTGTTGTAGAATGCCAGAGAGAACATTTCCCTTAGTGTTTGCTTCTTACATGCTATGTGTCATTCTATCTAAAATAATTTCTGATGTGGTTATTTTGTTGTTAGCAACATCCGTACTGTAAATGGTTTCTGAGAATGATCAAAAATTAGTAAAGACAAATGTTGTTACATGTCGTCTGAATATACCTAAATGATTCCTATTTATGTGCAATGTCTTGTATAATTTATCTTGACACTTGTACATATTATCCTGGAATTTCTGTTTCTTCATGTAGGCTTTGATCAGCAACGAGCACACTACTACTGTTATCAAGGAGACAATTGTACAAGAAAATGGCAAAGTACTGACAGATAACGACGATGGGATTCATCGTGCGTATGGTATACACTCTGATTATTATGACATCAAGAACAGCAGGCCATTGAGACTGAGGAAAAAATTGTACGAATTTTATACAGCTCCTATCACAAAATTTTGGGCTAACGCTGTAAGTTTCATTAAGTTACATTAGGTTTCATATGTACTATTATCCCTAAACTTATATATTTTTCTTTCATTTTATAGATAGCGTACATTATTTTCTTGGTTCTTTTCTCGTATTGCATTCTCATCCATATGGATGATCGTCCATCGTTAGCAGAGATTTATGCCATCGCATATATTTGCACATTAGGATGTGAAAAAGTACGAGAAATAGCAACGTCTGAACCAGCTACTCTCTCGCATAAATTCAGCGTTTGGGCGTGGAATATGTGGAACCCCTGCGACGCGGCTGCAATTATCTTTTTTCAAATTGGTCTAGCTTTACGCTTGAGACACTCGACTCTCGACGTTGGCCGTGTCATTTATTGCGTCGACAGTATTTATTGGTACTTAAGGATATTGAACATTCTTGGTGTGAACAAATACTTTGGTACGTGATGCAAACTGAATGAAAAATTTGCCACATTTTAAGAACAAACGTACAAACAATAAATATAAATTGTGCATTACCGTGTTTAGGTCCGTTAGTCACAATGATGGGAAAAATGGTAAAAAATATGACATACTTTGTAGTACTTTTGGTAGTGGTATTAATGAGTTTTGGAGTCACCCGACAGGCAATTTTGAACCCGAATGCTGAACCAAAACTCAGGATTATTCGCGACGTGAGTATTATTTGGAGTTGAGAAGATGGCAGTCGACTCTATTAGACTACGTAGTAGACGTCAAATATTCATACTGGCTGAAAATTGTGTAGGTAATGTAGAAACAGGCAAAGTGAACAGATACGAGTACTCTTCTTACTACTCTGCCAACATCCCAACTGCCAACTTCTCAATTGTCTCAACTGTGTATACTTTCTCATTCTATAAAATATTCTACTGTATACGAAAATACGTATTTATTTTGTAGATATTTATGGAACCGTATTTTATGTTGTATGGAGAAGTGTATGCAGATAACATAGATCCAGATTGCGGAGACGAGCCAGGAATGATCCCTTGTTTACCAGGCCGCTGGATCACACCTGCTGTAATGTCAATTTATCTTTTAATTGCAAACATATTACTGATAAATCTTTTGATTGCCGTATTCAATAATATTTTCAATGAGGTAAACGCGGTGGCGCACCAAGTTTGGATGTTCCAACGTTTTACTGTTGTTATGGAGTACGAACAGAAGCCAGTTTTACCTCCTCCACTTATTGTAGTTTGTCATATATATCTGGTGGTGAAATATTTGCTGCGATATGTAACACAAGGAAAGGCAAGCACTGGCGAAACCTACGACAACGGGCTGAAGTTGTTCTTAGAAGCGGACGATATGGAGCGTCTCTACGATTTCGAAGAGGACTGTGTCGAAGGGTACTTCCGCGAGCAAGAGCTGAAGCTGCAGATGTCCACGGAAGAACGTGTGAAAATTACCACGGAAAGAGTCGAGAATATGCATTCGAAGATTGAAGACATTGACAAAAAGGAGAACAGCCAAAATGCTTCCCTTCAGGTGCTCGCATTAATGTTTTTGTGACAATTAAATATTAATATAATATTACAATAGATTGCAATGAATTTTTCGATATAGGCAGTGGAATTTCGTATCCGTAAGCTGGAAGAATTAAACGAACAGACTCTGGCACATTTGGGGGTCATCCATCGATTCATGGCTACTCACATGCCCAACATGGAGGGCTTGTCCGGTTTCGATATAGACGGTCGTCAGCGTAGAGTGTCAGAACGCTCGGAAGTTCTCTCGGAAACAGATTCTCATACACAACTACCAAGCATCGCGGCTAAACGCAAAAGACTGGTCCGATCGATGACCGACGGCACGTTTCTTAATCTAGGCCCGTCAATAGACGACGTCATGCTGAAACATTCAGACACCGCTGTATCACGCGAAAACCTCAGTAGAAACGAGTCCTCTATAAGCGGGGATGGCCACACTATTCAAGACGACATAAAGACGACCATAAGCCAAGAAACTGAAGTAAGCAAGGCCGATGGCGAGAGAGAAACTTTGAAAAAGAGCTCGTTATCTAATAGCAGAGATGCAAGCAGGGAAGCAAGTGCAGAGCCAACAAGCAGCAAGGAACCAAGCACGGACCCAAGTAGACAAACGAGCAGGGAGTTAAGCAGGGAAACGAGCAAGGAACCGAGCAGAGAAGCCAGCAGCGAAGCACCAGCTTCCGAATCTATTCCCAAACAGGATTCCACGGAACGACCGACCAGGCAGAGTAGCAGAACGCGTTCCGAGTCAGACGATATAATGATCCTTCCATCCGGCATACCGAGAGGAGTAACTTGGGCAGAACCACGTGTCGCGGTCATCCCGTCGTCCTCGACGAGCAGCACACAGAGGTCTATCTTATTAGCCATGCACGCCGAGTATACAAGCATAACGGACGAATTGGAGAGCTACTGCGGCCTCCTAAGTCCACCGCGAACACCGCCAATCTCTCCACCTCCTTCAAGAGTTCGGAACTTATCCGAAATGTCCAATCCCGAGATGGCTTGGCAAATCGAGAACGAACATCTGCGCGACGCCGAAGAGTGCGATTACCAGCAGATGGAAGACTTGATACAGAGGAGGTACTTCGCGGACGAAGACGAGCCTTTGCACAGCGCAGACGAAGCCAGCGTCTTCATATCGAACGAGCACAGGCATCAACTTCGAAGAGCTTCCGCCATCGACGAAGAGTCTCGGAGGCCTCCACCTACGATTTGCGTGACTAGAGAGATCGAGCAAACGCTCTCGAGGCCGCCGATCCGGGACTCGGAAACCTCTGATCCCAACGACAAGAATCTGAGCACGGTACCTGCCCCGGCGTCGGAGACCATGTGTTGAACGAGATGCATCGAGGTAACCTAACCTCAATTTACACACTCTACACGTCACGATCTGAGTCACTCAACGAGACTGTGCAAGTTGAGGTTATGTATTTTCAATTGGTATTAATTTTAACGAGACGCGTACGTAAAGTCAAACGGAGACAGTATTTTTAAACGGAAACTATCGTAAAATTGTACATTGATATTTTTAATGAACATTCTACTTCATTGTAGCGTGTAAACATAGTAAAATGCCATGCATCCATCTAATTGCTTGTTTTATGGTGCAATATGTATCGTTGAGCTCAGATCTAAAGATTTTTACAATATTTCAATTGCAAATTTTATTACGATTTTTGTACGTTCTTTTTCGCGTAAATTCGTGTAAATAATTCAATTATTTCCAGCCGTAAAGTACTTAGAATATTGTACATAAATATGCACACGAGTGTATGTACATACAAATGTTGAGAAGTCATTCAGTTTGCTTACACTTAAACTGAGACTATTGATTAGTCAAATGTTACGTATTGCAGTTAGCAATTTTAATCCATTTATTTTTTAAATAAGTATCAAGTATATTATATTACAGTTCTTTTTAAATAATTTATTAACACAGACATATTTCTATACTTGGAGAAATTCACGTAATATTTGATATGTAAGTTTATCGTAACTTATTTAACTTAATCAGCTTTATAAAGCTTCCGATATTAATTTCTTGACAAGTACACGATATACGTACGATCGATCTAGTTGTTAATATATTTGTTGCAAACGTACAACTAACAGTTATTAATTTAATGCTGAATTCAACTATTATATTCGACAATTTTTTTTAGGAATATAATATTTTTGATTTCGTACAGATAATTATATATACACTTTGTTATATTTTCACGCAGTTATTGCTATTAATAACTGCTATTGCGATGTTTATGTGCATAATAATTTATGTTATAGTTAATATCAATGATTATAATATCAACTGTATTATAATAATTTATGATACAGTTAATATCAATAACAGATCCAACAATTGAATTGACTTAGCACGGCACATGGCAGTTACTTTGGAATATGTTCGAAAATGATTATTCCTTTATATAATAGATAATAATTGTTACTTTAGTAATATTGCTACTTCGACACTTCGATCTTCGTTAATATAAACGATAATAAAAATATTCAAACTAAGATAGCTAAATATCAATCATAAAGTTTGAATATTTAGGTGTCTAAACATTTTCTATCAGTCACAACATTAAACACATATTGTTGTGCGTATAAATTTCTTTTACCAGTCGAATCACAACACATTAACATTTTTTGTGAATTATGTTTGCATGGTTATTATACAATTCGTTGACACGTGAATTTATAATTATGAATTTTGTTCAAAATCATCAGAGTATAAAAAAAAAAATACGAAAATTATATTTCCTTTCTGTAGGAAAAATCATGGAAAAAACTATTGAATATTGAAACGTATGTTAGAGTCCTCTTGTACAATAACCGGTCAATTAATATTAACTAATTGGCAAGTTACAAGCAGGTATGTTGCAGCTTTTCAATTCATACAATATATATCTTGTTTCACTTGCGAATTCCAACTGATCTAATCATAGTTGGACGTAGGTTCAAAATTCATTAAATTAATTTGTATAGAATGATTCAGTGTACATGCTTGCTTCAAAGTTTCTTAAGCAAGAACATGTTTAGGTTAGGTTTAGGTTAGGTTTTGTGGAAGATGCGTTTCTGTAAACTGGGTGCAATGTATGTACATACTGTACAGACATATTGTTCAAGTTCCTTCCATTTTCTGGATTGTGTATTTTTCAATTTTGTACACAGAATTCGTTTGTTGTTGCTTGTTACAATAACGTTGTTGTAAGAACGTTGATCTTTTCTCGAATTTGTTTATACCTCGATCGTTGAGATTAATTTCGGTTTCTTCGATTCTTTCGTTAGCTTGAAAGGATTCTACTTTTGCGTGTATAATACATACACGAGAAATGTATGTACCTACATAGTATATAGGTGTATGTATGTATATATATATATATATACAAGGTGTTTAAAAAGAAAAAAAGTGTCGTATAAAATAATTATAGAGCAGCAAAGAAACGTAGAAAAAGAGGCAATAGAATTTTTATTCTAAATACACTGTACATGAATTTTTAATATCGTGAGACAAAATATTTGCTGAAGTCATTTGTAGCAATTTGCAAATAATTTAAGATTTTGAAAAAGATTAAAATCGATATCTCGTTTACGAGCAAGTGTGCAATTCATTCAATTAAAAATCGTTGCGTGCAACTTCATTGTCAACAAATATAAACGAATATAAAAACGATCTCGAAAGATTAAACCAAATAAATTTTTTTTCTTACGTTTCATGGTAATTTGTATTTGAAATATATATTATTATAAAGTAAAATAATTACTTTAAACGACGCTTATTTTGTTATACTTTGTAAATATATACATACACCGACACATAT